AACTCCTACTTGTTATATTTATTGTTAAATCTGACAGTACAAATGGGGTACAGTGTTATAATTTGATACATGTATACAGCATGCAGTGATCAAATTGGGGTAATTAACATTTCCTTCTTTCTAAACATTTACAAAATTTCTGATTAACATGTAATATTGTACTTATTTATGTAGTACTGTGTGATATTTCAATACATGTATACAATATGAACTGATCAAATTAGGGTCATTGACATTCTCATCTCCTTTCTCTGCATTTGGAGCCTTCAACTTCCTCTCCTCTGGTGATTCATAAAAATATCCAATAGATTCTAACAGTAGTCACCCCATGGAGCTTTTCTCCCCATTTTATAGATAAGAAAATTGAGGTTCAGAGGAAGCATCTCAGCTGCCCAAGGGACAGAATTGGGCCTTGCATCTGGTGGTTTGGTTCTAAGTCCTGTGCTCTGATCCTGATTCATCATCACAGCAGCTTTGGGAATCAAGTATGATTATCTCCATTTTTGCAGATAAGGATATTTTGATACATGTCAACAAACTTGTCCAAGATCACCAACCCATAACGTAGAGTCAGCATTTGTATCATGGTGTGTCTGGCTCCAAAGCAGGCCTTTTGGGGTCCTTTGTGGGGATTTCTGAATCTGTTCAGGAGGGGTCCCTCAGGTGGGTCCTCAGGGGTCCACTTTTCAAGGTCCTTCCCCAGCTTCCATGGTGCTTGGCAGTCAGGACTAGGAGGTCTGCAGCTGGCCAGGGCCATGCTCAGCCAGGTGCTGCACGCTCCTTTCTGTCCCCTGACTCACTGATATTCCTTCCCCCTCCCTCTCATCCCCCATCACTCTGATTTCCAACTCTCTCAGTTGGGAGTGGTTTTAGTTGCAGGTTACAGAAATCTCAACTCGAATAGGTCTTAACAGTAAAGAGAATTTACTGGCTCATGTGACTGATTTGTACAGAGAGAAGATGGCCCTGGGTCATGGTTTGTTCAGGATCTTGGCCCCATTTCTCAGCTCTGCCTTCCTCTGTGTGTGCTGGTTTTGGTCCTTGGACTGTTTTCCCATTTATGGTATTGAGTTGCTGCCTGCTACAAGGTGACAAACTTGCTTTTCCACCAGCAGTGAACAAACATGCTGACCTTTGCTCGGATTGACTCATCTGAGGTCACACGCCCTCTGAAGCTGTCTCTGTGATGATGGGAATGTCTTAGGGAGAGGGAAGAGATCCCTTTCCCCCACTCTTTCCTCCACTGAGATCTTCAGAGATAAGTGGATTCTTTTGGAGGATTGTGAAGGGATGTTTTTATGGGCATCAGAGCTGACACAGGGACAAAAATGATGTCTTTACAGCCACACTCTGCTGCTTACACCATCTTGTGTAAAGCTCTCCATATTTCTTTTTTTTTTATTGGTTGTTCAAAACATTACAAAGCTCATGACGTATCATCTTCCATACATTTGATTCAAGTGGGTTATGAACTCCCATTTTTTACCCCAGATACAAGTTGCAGAATCACATCGGTTACACATCCACATTTTTACATAATGCCATATTAATGACTGTTGTATTCTGCTACCTTTCCTATCCCCTACTATCCCCCCTCCCCTTCCCTCTCATCTTCCCTCTCTACCCCATCTGCTGTTGTTTAATTCTTTCCTTTGTTTTTTTTCCCCCTTTCCCCTCACAAACTCTTATATGTAATTTTGTGTAACAATGAGGGTCTCCTTCCATTTCCATAGTTTCCCTTCTCTCTCCCTTTCTCTCCCCCCACTCGTCTCTGTTTAATGTTAATCTTTTCCTCATGCTCTTCTTCCCTGTTCTGATCTTAATTGCTCTCTTTATATCAAAGAAGACATTTGGCATTTGTTTTTTAAGGATTGGCTAGCTTCACTTAGCATAATCTGCTCTAATGCCATCCATTTCCCTGCAAAATCCATGATTTTGTCATTTTTTAGTGCTGCATAATACTCCATTGTGTATAAATGCCACAGTTTTTTAATCCATTCATCTATTGAAGGGCATCTAGGTTGATTCCAAAGTCTAGCTATTGTGAATTGTGCTGCTATGATCATTGATGTGGAAGTTCTCCATATTTCAAACAGAGTGGTAAAGAACAGTAGCATCTCAGAGAGACCCCCAAATTTTGACAGTTGACTGGCATCTGGGCTGCACCTATCAAAGGTCATCTTTGTGGCACAAAGTGCTCTCTTAGGATGGAAAAATGCTTTCCCATTAGGAACAAAATGGCTCAGTGTAAGAGGAAAATGAAATGCAGAAGATGTGTTGGGTGGGCGAGATTTGCTGGAATCTTTTCAAGTGTGTAGAATTTTGTTCCAAGCTTATCTTTATGTGCATTTCTGCCTCCTCTCATGAGACGCTCTTTCCTACCAAGAAGTGAAAGATTTTTTTTCTACCCTTGTCCTCCAGCTCTGTCTTCTGGTAGAGACCTGAGCAATCACTATTGTCACCACCATGCTCATCCTGAGGGGCTGTTTTGCCTTTATTCCCAGGCTCCAGGGGAGACCAGAGCTTTCCCTAGGTCCTCTGGATTCATCGAAACAGATGGGCATGGTGAACTGATTTGACCAAGGGCTTAGAAAAAGCAGAAGGGAACTGTACACAAAGAAGAACTTCTAAGTGGGGCTTACTCATAACTGCTCTTGACTGTCATCTTTCTCAATGGGTCTCTTGCTGTCCAGCAACTTCTGCCCCCTTGTGGCAAAACCTCAATTTCTCCATTGCCTCCACTTGTTTTCTTTTTTAAAAATTTTTCTTTTTGTATATGGTGTGTAATTCCACATCATATATGACCCCATCACATTGTTTTTAGATATATGTGACAACAGAGTCTATTTTGACATATTATGCATACATGGAGTATGACCCATTCCAATTAAGATCCCATTCTTGTGGTAATACATAATGTGGAGTTACTGATTGTGTTTTCATTTAGGAGCAAAGGCTATGTTCAGTTTATTCTACTTCATGATAGCCAAGCTATGGAACCAACCAAGGTGCCCTTCAACAGATGAATGGATAAAGAACATGTAATATATATATATATATATATATATATATATATATATATATATATATATATATAGTATGTGTATGTGTGTGTGTGTGTGTGTGTGTTGGGGGGTGGTACCAGAGGTGGAACTCAGGGGCTCTCAACCACTGAGCTACATCCCATCCCTATTTTGTATTTTATTTAGAGACAGGGTCTCACTGAGTTGCTTTAGTGCCTCACTGTTGTTCAGGCTGGCTTTGACCTTGCGATCCTCCTGCCTTAGTCTCCCCAGCCAATAAGATTACAGGCATGCGTTACCACCCCACGGCTCCTTTTTATATTTTATTTAGGGACATGGTGTCACTGAGTTGCTTTAGTTCCTCACTGTTGCTGAGGCTGGCTTTGAACCTGTGATCCTCCTGCCTCATCCTCTAGAGCCACTGGGATTACAGGCATGCGCCATCTTGCCTGGCTATCCACTTGTTCATGAGTTCACATAGATAGATGTTTTTGCAGTCTAGGTCCCATGGTCTCTTTCTTCCATGTCCTGAGTCACTGTATGTGCATAGTTATGTGCATATGTGCATAGCTAGGCAAGCACTCTACAACGGAAGCATATCTTCAGCCTGAAGTCACTATTTTCTGCCCCAGGAGCTTCCTTTTCCCTAGTTGATTAATAGGGTACATCCTCTCCCTTCCAGAACTACCCCAACTTTGAGTCCTTTCAGATCTAGTCATCATATCCCAATAGTCCTGCATCAGTAAAAGCAGGGTATGAGTAACTCCAGGGCAATTGTCTCCTTACACTTCCTGCCATGTTTATAAATGTGAAAAGAACCCAGAAAGAGGACAATTTAGCTTAAAAAGTATGCTTGCCAGTGGCAGAAGTGGAGGCACCATCTGCACGATAAATTTGGCGTTTACGGGAAGGGCAGGATTTACACTTATACTATGTAGATTGGGACTATCTTTAGACAAAAGAGGAGGCTGGGGAATGTCACTGCAGCCAGACCAGCTAGCTGTGTGGAAAGGAAGCTTTTATACAGACTTCAGGTGTGAGGGTGTGACCCTAAGTCATAGATGCTCCGGCTCATGCTGGTGACCCATGCTCTCTAAGATCAGAGACCGCAGTCATTTCTTCCACAGCCATTGGCTGAGCTCTTGCTATATTTCCTGGAAGAGGTTCTAAGGATGAGTTGGAGAAGGTCCTTGCATTCTAACAGCTCACCAAGTAGGGGAGAATCCTGGCTTGCCAACACGTGAAGACAGTACAGTAGGGTTCCTGTTAGAGTAGTGATTTAAGTGCTAGAGGACCAAAGCCTGGGGACAGCCATCAGCCATTGGGGGCAGCTCAGCTAAGTTCCCAGAGAATGCATCCTTCATTATGGAGAGAGGAGCAGCAATGAAATGGAGCCCAAACCTTCCATAGATGATTGGCCCCACCACAGTGGTCTCCATGCTATCCAGCAGCCTCCCCAATGGCCTGTGACCCCAGCCCCAGAGTGATGGGAACCAACCAATCATTGACAGCAGCTGTGGAAAAGAGTGGGGTTGGTTCCATTCCAAAACTCCACCAGGCCACACCAAAGAAGTCTACTATGCAAGTAGGAATTCAGTGTAGTCCTCTGCCTCCTTCCCATCAACTGGCCCCAAATCCCTCCTAGGGGGTGAACTCCTTCTGAGCCTCTGCTGTAAAAATAAAAAACCTTTTGTCTTTATGTTTGTCAGGAACATTGGTGATCTACTAGGAAATTTGGGAATAAACCAATAGAACTAAATTCAAGAAATGGAAGGCAATAATAAGTGTTCATCCACAGAGTGGAGAATTTAGATAACAGACCTTAACTCCAGCCCCGTACACAGGAACCTCTGGAGTTTCTGATGTGCTGGAATTCTGTGACTTAATCTTGTTCCCCAAATGCAGACATGGGTGGGGCTCAGGAGGGAGGTGTGGTTTGATGTGGTTTCTCTATTTCCCTTTATTCATCCATTTCCTTCCAAATGTTAAGTCACTGTTGTCTTCTCTGAGTTACAGGCTCCTGCCTTGGTTGTTCCTGGCTGGTACCTCAGGTAAGAATCTGCCTATTTGTTCAGGACTTTCTTTGGGCTAGGGAGGCTTGGTTTGACTTTATTGTAGAATATGCATTTATTTCTCTGGAATCTGAGGATTTCTGTTACTTGGCTTCCCGCCTCCTCTCTGTGCCTTCGATTCAGTTCTGACCTTCTACTTGGTCATAGTTGGTGAGAAGGAGTCTCGTCCTTTCTCTGTACTCTTTGCCCTTTTATAGGGCAGAGGTCAACAGTTCCTCAATTGGATAGTCATTGGTTTGTCCTAAGACTATTATGACTCTGTCCTCTGTGAGAATGCGAATACTGGAAGTGAGAGAACATACTGAAACGTAATGAACTTATCATAGAAACTTAGATGTGGTAGCAAAGGAGAGGTACCTTCTCTATCTCCCTCAATTTGCTGATGTGAAATGGAAATGTATAAGTGTAAAAGATCCCAGTCAAGGTCACAAAAGAGAAAGCCACTAGTGCCAGCTCACCTCATTTCCAATCTGATGAACTTCCAAAGGTTTTCAAACAGTTCTCTGGAGGGCCTGGAGCTGGGGAGGAGGTGGGGGTGGTGGGGACCGTCTTCATGGAGACAGCTGCACATGACCTCCTTGGCCTGCACTGGCAGCTCAGCTTTGATCTGTTTCACGTACTAGGCTTCTGGGAAGTTTCAACAAATTTTTTTTACAATAAAAAAACTTTTGAAAGCTGCTGAATGATTCTGTGGATGTTTAAGAGATTGAGACATTGTCCTCTCAAATGCTTAGACTTCCTTTAGACAGAGGACCAAGATATTTAATACTCATTTGAAGATAGGCTTAAAATAAGTGACAGCACCACACAACCATTCTGTTTTTTTTTTTTTTAACTTTCAGTAGGGTATCCACTAGATTACATGAAATATTCAACATTTTATTACAAAATGGGGTTTGTGAAAGAGGATATTTTCCCAAGCATCATCTAATGTAATGTTCTGAGCACATTTAAGATAGGCAAGGCTAAGCTATGATGTAGGTTAGGTGTATTAAGTGCATTTTTGACTTATGATATTTTCACCTAATGATTGATATAGTCCCATTGTAAGTTGAGGAGCATCCACATAGCATAATGCAATTTGATGCTGTCAGTTTCTTCCAGCAGATTTGTAAATTGAAAGCATAGGGAGGAGCACAGGAATTGGGAGCTCATAGGAGGAGAAATAAGGTAGAAAGGGACAACTGGATCGGGCTTGCATCCTGCCCTTTTGCAGAGTTCTGGCCTCTCCTGAGTGGGTAAGACCAGCCTGATTTCCCATCTGAATGCACACACATGGCAGAGGATGAAGGCTAAAGAGGGCAAGAGGTGGAGTTGCAGGTAGAGTTTCCCCAGTCCTCGGGCCAATCAAGTGCAAAGGTGTCTTCTCCGAGTTGGATCTTATCCCATGCTCACGCTGGGCCTCAGAGTATATGGAAGGTTGGTAACACTGGGTGGTCAAATTGGAGGTAAAGGGAATAATCTCGGGTTTCCAAACCATCAGAGAAGCAAAAATTGTCCTGATAAGTGTTCTCACATCCTTCATAAGAATCGCTTGAATATGAATTACTAAATCTCATTTCTTCTAACTTTTCAACTAGGTCAAACCATGTCTGAAATCAAAGAAGGCATGTGGAATATCTCTGATCTGTGGACATTCTTTGAGTATGATTTCAATTTCACTGGCATGCCACCTCTGGGTGAAGAGTACAGCCCCTGTAGCCTGGACACTGAGATGCTTAACAAGCATGTTGTGGTAGTCATCTATGCTGTGGTGTTCCTGCTGAGCTTGCTGGGAAACTCCCTGGTGATACTGGTCATCTTATACAGTCGGGTCAACCGTTCAGTCACCGATGTCTACCTGCTGAATCTAGCCATGGCCGATCTGCTCTTTGCTCTGACCTTGCCCATCTGGGCGGCTGCTAAGGAGAAGGGTTGGATTTTTGGCACACCCCTGTGCAAGATGGTCTCATTCCTGAAGGAATTGAACTTCTACAGTGGTATTCTACTACTGGCCTGCATCAGCATGGACCGATATCTGGCCGTTGTCCATGCCACACGTACACTGATCAAGAAGCGCCACTTGGTCAAGTTCATATGTCTGGGCATCTGGGGATTCTCTTTTATTCTGTCCCTGCCCTTCTTCATCTTCCGCCAGGCCTTTAGTCCTACCAATTCCAGCCCAGTCTGCTATGAGTTCCTGGGTAATGATACAGCAAAATGGCGGATGGTGTCGCGGATCCTGCCCCAGACCTTTGGCTTTGTCATACCACTGCTCATCATGCTGTTCTGCTATGGCTTCACCCTGCGCACCCTGTTTAAGGCCCACATGGGGCAGAAGCACCGGGCCATGAGGGTCATCTTTGCTGTTGTGCTGGTCTTCCTGCTCTGCTGGCTGCCTTACAACCTGGTCTTGGTTGCAGACACCCTCATGAGGACCCACTTAATAGAGGAGACCTGTGAGCGCCGCAATGACATTGACCGGGCCCTGGATGCTACAGAGATTTTGGGCTTCCTCCACACCTGCCTCAACCCCATCATTTATGCCTTCATTGGCCAAAATTTTCGCAATGGATTCCTTAAGATCCTGGCTACCCGTGGCCTGATCAGCAAAGAGTTCCTGACACGTCATCATGTTACCTCATACACTTCTTCCTCTATCACTGTCCCTTCAAACCTCTGAAAAGCATCAATGAAAGGATATGTCACCTTCATAAAGAAAGAATAACCCTCATCCCAAGGTTGTGTGGGGGGTAGCCTGGGTCCAGACAGATGTTATCTGGGTTTGGAGGGGAACTATAAAATGTGGGGAAGTTAGGGACTTTTGTCTTCAGGGCCCTCACCAGCCTTCTGAGGAAGTGCCAAGAGACCTCCAAGGACTAGCTTCAGGTTTCCATGGAAAGGAACCCCACCATTTCTGTTGAATTCTTGGATCTTTGACCCACTAACTGGATAATCAGCACTGTCACATGCATAGCCCCATCTGACATTGGAGCAAAACAAACAAGCAAGCAATCAGCAAACCAACAAGCAAAAATGGGCTGAAACTGTTTGCTCCTATGGGCTGACTGTCTTGGTGACTCTCTGGAGCATCACCCCAACTGCTGAGTATGTTCCAGCCAGCCTGTTTGAGAACTCTGTGTCCTGTGCTCTGAGTTCATGCAACTCTTTCCTTTCTTTCTTTCTTTTTTTTTGGGGGGGGGGTGGTGGCTACCAGGGATTGAACCCAGGGGCACTTATCTACTGAGCCACATCCCCAGCCCTGTTTATTTTTTATTTTAAGACAGGACCTTAAGTTGCTTAGGGCCTCACTAAATTGCTGAGGCTGGCTTTGAACTTGTGATGTTCCTGCCATAGCCTCCCAAGTCACTGGGATTGCAGGCATATGTCGCCACACCCGGCCACACAATTTTTTTCTATCTCCAGTATGTTGCAGTATCTTCTGGGGACATGGAAGCAGGTGCTGCTGAAACATCAAACCATCCTTGTGATGGAGACCTTGTGATGGAACAGGAAAGCATTCTTCCCTTAGGTATAGTAGGTGAACAGAGGGTGATTGGGAAGCCAGACCTATCGCAAGAGATGCCTCTTTACATCATGACCAACATCATAGACAGGACAATGTGCACATTGGGAATGTGCTGAGCCATGGATGGAACAAGACTAGCAGCTTGTTGCCCTCTTGGTGCTTCTAACCTGACACAGAGTCTCAGCAACCTCACAGATCCCCACACAGCGGTCAATCAGCTGGGTGCTAGCCATTTCCAATAAAATTTCTGTTTTGTGAAGTTAGCCAATCCTCAAAAAACAAATGCTGAATGTTTTCTCTGATATAAGGAGGCTGATTCATAGTGGGGTAGGGAGAGGGAGCATGGGAGGAATAGAGGAACTCTAGGGTAGAGGGGTGGGAGGGGAAGGGAGGGGGCAGGGGGTTAGAATTGATTGTAAATGTGATGGACATCATTACCCTAAGTACGTGTCTGAAGACACAAATTGGTGTGAATATACTTTGTATACCACCAGAGATATGAAAAATTGTGCTCTATGTGTAATATAAATTGTAATGCATTCCACTGTCAGATATAAAAAAATTAATAATAAAAAATATATATTTAAATTTCAGTTTTGTATTTGTGCCTGTGGGAATATCTTGGCTGTGATGTAGAGTAAAAGGTGTGAGTGATGTTACTGGTTGTTGCTACAGTAGAATGGGGGTATTACTCCCCCAAAAGTATCTCTTGAGACACAGACCCATTGTTCTCGCTCCCTGGGCTGAGGATCCCCTTGTCCTGAGCAAAAGAAAATGTACCTCCAGACAATCTCAGCTTCACCTCCACTTAAGCTTCATCCCCTGGGATCCCTCAAAAGCAATTTAGGACACCACACCAGGAAACAGAGACCAAGCTCGGCTCTCAAAATACATACCCCAATCCTGACTGTGTTAACTCACCCCTTTCCCAAATGCTTACATGGATGGAATAGCAGTTTATTCATAGTTTTTCCTCTGTGAAGCGGGAATCATCTGTTTGTTCACTCTGTATCCCTGGTATCTGACATGCTGCTTGGAGCCCATTTACCTCTCGGTAAATATTTATTGAATGAATGAATAGGTGCTAAAAGGCCCAAGCTCATTTGCACACCATCTGCTCAGAGCACCTCTTATTGGTCCCCTCCTCTTCACCCTCCTGCTACCCTGGGTGAGTATTTCATCCCTTAAGTTTGCCTATGTGGTTTATCTTCATTCTGTTTTTATCTGTGTAAAAATGTTCTGAAGACATCGGGGCTCCTTTAATTGCTAATGGTAGAAACTCAACTCCAACCAGCTTAAGCAACACTGAGAATGCATTGGAATATGTGGCTTGGCGGGTATCAGATGGCTTGAGCTGGAGGTTCCCAGGTGGGCATTTAATAAAGGGTGAGACTGGGTCAAGGGTTGAGGTTGGAGTCAGAGATGAGGTGCAGGGATGGGTGGAGGTTGGGTTAAGGTGAAATGTCAGAGAAGGATGAATGTCGGGAATAGGGAGGGATTCAGAAATAAGGAGAGATTGGGGATGGGGTGGGTGAGGATGAGGGATACTATGAGGAGACAGGGAGGGTCCAGTTGGGGCTGGACCAGGTTGGTGAGAGGCTTAGGGGTTGGGTCAGTGCGGAGGTGTGGGAGACTCAGGGAGGGGTGTCAGGATGGGTGATTGGCTACAAGGCTGGAGCAAAAAGACCTCACTAGTAGGGTCACTCTTTGTTTTAGTCAGCTTTTTTACTGCTGTGACCTAAAGAAAGACCCGAGGAGAACAGTTAGAGCAGGAAAAGTTTATTTTGGGGCTCAGTCCCTAGATAGCCGACTGCATTCCTCAGGGTCTAAGGTAGGATAGGAAGTCAGGGCGGAACAGTGAGGCAAAGAAAGCAACTTAGGACATCACACCAGGAAGCAGACACGAAGCTCAGCTCACAGAATGCGTATACCCCAAAGGCACACCCCAATTTCCACCTCCTCCAGCCACGCCCTACCTGCCCACAGTCTCCACCCAGTGAATCTCTATCAGGGGACTAATTCACTGATTGGGTTAAGGCTTTCATAATCCATTCACCCTTCTTGCATCACCTTACGCATGAAGTTTCAGGCGACAGCTCCCATCCAAACCATAACACCATGGTTTCTGGGCCATCATCTAAGATGCTCTTCTAGGGCCGGGATGGAGGCTCCTGGGCTGGTTCCACTTGAGGTTCCCCAGGCAGTGGATGAGAAAGAAGTTAGGGACTCCAGAGCTCAGACATGAATCTGACTCAGGAAAGAAGATGAGAAGAATGCAGAAAGCATCCTGGCGAGGAGGGCTTAAAACAGGACTTCTTTTCCTCTCTCTCCCGCCCCTGTGTCCTGTGCCCCTCCCCTGTTTCCTTAATATCCATCTTTCTTCTCCTTCGTCCTGTGCCAATTCCCAAAGCAGCTCCCTTATGGCTTCAGAAAGGAAACGAAGATCCTTATTGGGTCTAGGGAAACACAAGTGACTAGTAAGCACCCTGCCTTGCTAGTAGTTTGGGAGATGGGAATTTAGCAGCCATAAAATAAGGCGGAAAGGTTTTAAACAGGGGAGGGATATAATCAGAGCTCTTCAATCCAAAAGTTCAACATTATTTGATTAGATATTTCAATGTGGCACGTGGTCCTCTGGGTTTAGCACAAGACATAAATGACTTGGATTTCAGATTTTTTAAAATGCCAGGATTTTGGTACTCCCTTAACATAACATAATGAAGTATCCAATACAGGCGTTTCAATCACTAGATAGAGTGAGGATTAGATGACTGGTCAGATCTAGGGTGATAGGTCCCCGTAGGGAGGGGCTCATGACCAGGATGGGGCTGGGATCAGGGGTGGGCAAATCAGGGGAGGAGTCGGGGTCAGAAATGGGAGATGGTGAGAAAGGGGATTGGGATTAGGATAGAGGGCACATCAAGGATAAAGTTGGGGGGCAGGGGCTGGGGTCTGAATTTATGTTCTGTACAATGTGCAATGATTTAAGCATTTATTTTTTAAATGTTTAAAATGTTCCAGCCTCCAAGTAATTATGTCAAAATCTACGGTTTTCTCCTAAATTAGTTCCCCTTCTCAGGAGTGACAGCCCTCACCATCCCTTGCCCTCCTATCCAGTAATCCATTCTCGTCAGTTCCAGTAAAAATATTAACCAAAAGTTCAGGTTTTATGCCAAAGGGGTTTAAGATCATCCCTTTCCCAGCAACTTGCATTTTAATAAGGGCCTTTAGGAGGCTAAAAATCTCAGAGAGGCAAAGGAAATAAAATTAAATGACCATCTCTTCTTTGGTCTAAAGATCTTTCCAGCAATGTGTCCTCCTAGAGATGGCCACTCACCAATGGATGGTGTGGAGCCCAGCCTTCTGCTGTTACCAAGACTGGATGGGTTACTCCGGACAGGACCCAGAAATCCACCAAGGGCCCATAGTTGAACCACCTTGGGGTTCTTGCTTTAAATTCAAGATCTTGAGGTAGAAATGAATAAAAGACATAAAAGATAAAAAAATGAACATAATATGTTAACGGGGTCTTTAAAGATTAGTTTTTCTTTATCAAAGTATTTTATACACATTGTTTATAAAGCTTATAATGAGAATCAGTAGCCTTCCAACCCCAAGTCCTGTGACAACCCCAAGGCAAAGATGTCAAGGTTCTACTTTTAAGTTACTTCCTCTAATAGGGGTCCACATAGTCCTCAATATCATTCTGTTCCTTTAAAAAAATTGTTCTTTTTAGTTAAACATGACAGTAGAATGTATTTTGACATCTCTTATATACATGGAGTTTAACTTCCCATTTTTGTGGTTGTACACGGTGTGGAGTTACACTGGTTGCGTATTCACATGTGAACACAGAAAGTTATGTCAGATCCATTCTGCTGTCTTTCCCATTCCCATCCCTGCTCCCCCCTCCCCTGCATTTAACCCTGTCTCATCCAGTGAACCTCCATTCATCCCTCCCACCTCTGCCTATTGTGAGTCAGCATCCACACATCAGAGAGAACATTTGGCCTTTGGTTTTTTGGAATTGGCTTATTTCATTTAGCATGATAGTCTCCAGTTCCATCCATTTACCAGCAAATGCCATTGTTTCATTTTTCTTTATGGCTGAGTAATATTCCATTGTATATATGTACTACTTCTTGCCTGTTCTTGAGACCCCTTAGTTTTAGGTATCATGTATTGACTTTCTGTTTTGGTAATGGAGAATTTAATGCTCTCTCAGCTTGTCTTTTGCTTTCATTCTGGTCCAAAAATCCCCAAATACCACCTTCTCCATTCTCCTAGATACCACCGATACCATATTTTTGGTTCAATCAATATTCAATCTTTTTGTTATAACAACCCCATAAAAAATTATCACAGTGAGGTACAACATTTACACTTCCTTTTTTTGGACCAGTTCTGTTTTCCCTGGAATTGATGGTAGACTTTCCATGCACCAGTGTCCAATGTCTCTCTCAATGCATTCCATTCATTGGGTAATTTAGTCATTTATTTTCTTTCTTGGAGACATTTCTTCTAGAGCCCTTTGTTGTCTTGCTTCAACCTGGATAGGTTACTCCCTGGTTTGCTCTTTTTTTTTTTTCCTGAATTTCTTTCATTCCATTTCTAGATGAACTTTAGATCTGCTTGTCAATTTCTACAACATATTCAATTGGGATTTTGATTTGGATTACCTCAAATCCATAGATCAATTTGGAGAAAAAGGCAACATTAACATTGAGTCTCCTAGTCTAGGAACATGGTATCTTTCTTTAATTGTTTGCAAAGAATGTTTTCTAGTTTTTGGTACAACGATCTTGTACATATGTTATTAAATTTACCCTTAAGTATCTTGTGGCTTTTTGGGGGCAGGGTGCTATTACAAATGGTATTTTGAAAGAAAAAATTTTCCATTTCTTTATTATTAGAGTATAGAAACATAATTGCACTAGTATATTGACTTTGTAACAATTTACTTACTAATGTACTGTCTTTGTAATCTGGAACCTTTTCCACTGATTAGTTCTTGTAGTTTTTTTTTTTTAAGTATTCTCTGGATTTTATATGTATGTCATCTGAGAAAAAAAAGATAATTTTATTTCTTCATTTTCCTTATGCCATTTAATCTTTTTCTTGTCTTATTTCACTGAGCAGCATCTCCAGTCCAGTGCTGAATAGAAGTGTCAAAAGCAGATATCCCGCCTTGTTCCTGGTCCTAAGACATCCAATTTTCACTAAATATGATGTTAGCTGTAGATTTTTCATAGAGACCTTGTATCAGTTGAGAAAGTTCTACTCATAGCTTGTTGAGAATTTAAAAAATTTTGAAATCATGAATGGATGTTAAATTTTCTTTTCTCTTTAAGGACCTGGACCCTGAAGCCA